GTGAGACCCTGCATGCCCCTTAGAGCCACTAAGATCCACGACAGTAATGCCAGCAGTTTGAGTCTGCATGGCAGTGAGCTGGACTTAATTGGAACCAAATGTAGGTTTCATGGCTTTCCACCACAGCACTGAAACATTGGGTGGCTTTGAGGACTTTGATGGTTTTGATTGGAAGACTTGCAGCAGTGGGTGAGGCAGCTGCCACCAAATGCTCCAATTCCACTCCCTCACCTTGTGTTGCTTCCTTCAGTAATGGATGGGCTTCCCCTGAATAAAAAAGAAAGTTAAATGCTTCTGATTATGGGGCACCATGCTGGCTGATGTGCTATGACTTCTGAAATGAACTTGTGTGGACAAAATTAAGTTCTGGAATGATGTCACCTTGATCAATTACATTGCTGATATTTTGGTTATTAGCATATCTAGTAATTTGGGAAAGATACTGTGGAGTAGCAATATGTCAGCAAATAGTTAGTGCTTTTAGCAGAGTAGGAGAGCAAAGAAAATTGCCATAAAAAACTATGCTAATATATAAAAGCTAGGCTGGATAGCAATGGACCAACTATTTAGAGCAATATAATTGCCTCCATTTACATTACAGTCATTTCTTATCCACTGCCAAATTGATTAATGGACACAAAGGAAAATGAGTCATCACATAAAGGACATCTTATTCTGGGGAATGGTTATTTTATCTGATTACCAGATTTAAAAATGGAAATCGCCACTTAAACAATTAGTCACATAATGATGTCAACATTTAACAGTTTATTAAAAAGGTAAAATATCACTGTGAAAGCGATGTTTGCAGTTCACACTGTAGAAGGTGTCATTCTGTGATAGCAGGAACTTCCTAGCAGTCAATGTATCACCTCTCAATTGAAAACTGAACTAGTGATTACAAATAGATGATGAAAAAGAGTTTGTCTAAATAACTGATCTGAATGGATTACACATTTCACAAAATAAGGAAGAAATATATTCCAAAAGTCAATAATACCAATTTACCATGTTAAAATATATTAACAACATTCAAGACAAATAAACTAGAAGCCCAAAAGAAAAAAAGATGGACCTTAAATGACTAAGAATAAAAAGATCTGTAATGAAACATATATAGACAGAGGATGAGTATTGATTTACTAAAATGAAAAATGAAAAAAAATGTTAAGGACATGTGATTTATTTCTGTGCATTAAGTTGGGGCTGCAACTTTTAGATGGTTCATTAGGTAAAGGCTCCATCTGCCTATGCAGGTAAATGTAAACAATATAATGACATTAGTCAAAAAAGAGCAGAGCAGTTCTCCCAGTTCCTGCCAATTATTTAACAAGTATCATTGCCAAAACTAGAACATTTGTACCATTCTTACTTAGGGGTTCCAAGAGTAAAAATTTCCCTTAAAGTCTGAACAATGTGGGTTATGGCAGGAAATGTGGCAGAATCACATGAGGCCTGTCTCAATGTTGGGAGCAACTTGCTCCATCTCTAAACTGAGTCCCAAGCAGTGAGGCAAGATTCTTGCTAGGCATTCTGAAATTGCCAATTTAAGGAGATTATTGTATACTAATATTGTTATTAACTGCAATTCTCATCTTTTTAATATGCAGTTTCCTATCCTGCCACCCAACTGAGCAAGAACTAGATGTTGAGAATTCTCGATATGGAAGTCAGAGCAGTCCGAGAGAACTTCGGCCTATTGCTTGCTCCAAAGGACCTGTATGTTGGACACCCGGCATCTAGGGCATGCTTCATTGGCACCCCGTATCCACAAATGCTGACATCTGATATGTCCCAGCCTATAAAACCCTCCTGGCTCATTTCTGATCAAGTTACAGCATGCTTCTGAACTCTAATACTGCAACTTGGGGTGCAACATAAACTGAAATTGAAATGCTGCAACCAGGACACTGTGCTTTCAGCGACATATACCCAGCTCATGGACTGTACCAGGCTGCATCTCTAGTTTGTCCACTTGCTCACTTTGAGCCTACCTGGGTGCTGACAGCATCCCTGCCTTGCTTTGCCTTGCTATGCTTTTTTGTACTTTGGCGCTGCTGTCTTGACTTGCCATTTAATGCAGACATGAAGCCAGAAAGTTTGTCATGTTTGTCACCTACCCTCAGTCAGGTCAAGGGAGATAGCCTTCAGCCAGGGAATCGTGTAAAGTAAAGGCAACATCTGTTCCCAGTTCAGGGGCTTGGACATTGTCGGTCACCCGTTCATGGGAGTCACAATCAGGTTGTTCTCCACATAAGGGGCGAGAAGCTGAACGTTGGGTAGCTCACAACCCGGCTTGCTTCAGTCCTTTTGTGGGCTGTTTTCCTCCTGCAATGGGAGATAGGCGGGTATTAAGGAGATGAAATTGACTGGTATAGCTTTCATTTCTGATGCAGATGGGGAAGTGTTCCAAGTGAGTGGGTAGGCAGTGCAGAGGGCATTCAGTGTTTGTTGTATTGGATGACAGTGAGTTGGGAAAGATTTTGCAGGAAATAATGAGCATGGTATAGCATGATCCTTGATGAGAAGAGGGTGCAGTAGCAGAGATACAGTAAGTGTCAGGTATCAGAATGATAGTGGCACTTAGCTGGTGGAGCAGAGAAGTTCATTGGTGAAGTTACATGGTGCTGATGAGAGCACAGAAGGAATAATGTGTGCAGTTTTGGTCTCCTTATTTGAGGAAAAACATTCTGGCTATGGTGGAAGTGCAGCACGGGTTTTCCAGTTTTTCCCAGGATGTCAGGACTGACATATGAAGAGAGAGTGGATCAGTTAGGACTTTATTGACTGAAGTTTAGAAGCATGAGGGCATATCTCATAACACCCCATAAAATTCTAACAAGACTAGTTAGGCTAAATGCACAAAGGATGTTCCTGATGACCAGGGAGTCCAGATGTAGGGGTCACAGTTCAAGGATACAAGGTATGCCATTTAGAACTGAGATGAGGAGAAATTTCTTCAGCCAGAGTGGTGATGCCGTGAAATTCTCCGCTAAAGAATGAGATTGAGACCCAAACATTGAATGTTTTTGAGAAAGAGTTAGATATAGTTATTAGGGCTAAAGGGATCAAAGAGTAAGCAGAGAACGTGAGAACATGGTGCTGAGATGGATGATCAGCCATGATCATATTTAATGGTTTACTCCTGCTCCTAGTTTCTACATTTCTAAAACCATTGGCTTTTTTCCTACAGTGCTGTGCATTCCTCCTGATGACTGAGAGTGCACTGACCCAAGTGGCAACCTCGGACCAGGCTGGCATGGTCTCCTGGGGAAAAGAATGCCCCACCTCTCCACCAATCCATCCGCTGATACCTCTGTGTCCCTTTTCCACAAAGTGAGACACTAATTTCCCTTTGTTTGCCATATTGGATGCGAATGTCACAAACCTTGCAGAGCAGATCCAGACTGATAGTGTTTGACTGACTGCATGATCATCTTTTTTTAACGATGATATTGGTGCCAGGGATGCTGGCTGATTCTGAGATATCCCAGCAGTGGTGACCTGTTTCAAATACAGCAAGTGGTAAAATGGGGCTAGAATTGGGTGAGAGGAGAGTTGTTGGGGTGGGGTAAGTCTTGAATGAAGTGCATTTGGTCATATTTGTCAAGAGATCTTGCATACCTCATGATGTAAAACTTCAATGAAACTCAACAAAACTGACATTCTGCCAAAAAAAAAGACATAAGATTCAGCCCTTTTTGCTTTCAAGCTGGCTTCTACACTTATTCACTCTATGATGTGGAGGTGCCGGTGTTGAAATGGGGTAGACAAAAAAAAAATCAGAAATCACATGACACTAGATTATAGTCCAACAGGTTTATTTGCGATCACAAGCTTTTGGAGTGCTGCTCCTTCATCAGATATCGTGTGACTTCTGACTATGTTCGCTCTAGTCAGTAATGACCAGGTCTCCAAAATGTTATGTTTTTTGGCAACCACTTCATATGTATCAAGATCATGAAAGGCATTGTATTGTGCAAGTTGCCAATTTGGAACAGGCCTCATTGCCTGTATACAATTAGTGAGTAAGACAACTTTTAGAACAGATGTGTATATATTCTGACACTACTCCCTTGTAAAATGATCACTCATTAATTGTCAGCCCACTTTACATTCCACAGGCATCATATTTATCATGTAATTCATACTTCAACAAAAATGTCTCAGCAAACACAAATTTCCATTTATGCTAGAGAATTATTTTGGCATGGATTATAAGTATGAGGTGAAGTCAATATTATCTGAATAGCAAAGGTATGTTGCTAACGATTTGGTGATATACAGTAAGGTGAACCATGAAAATTACAGATAGGAAATGTTTTGTGCATCACACCACATGCAAATCCCAAGCCACCGAGGGCTATGTTAATCTCCTGGGAGAGCCCAAAAAAAAGGTCATATTGGGAAATTAAGCTGGAAAGATTCTCTGATTCCATTGTGTACAAACTAGCCCAGGGAAGCGCACTTCCCGTGATTGCATGATATTCATAATAAGATGAATGTCCTTTATTGCATGTTTGCATCTCGTATGGCACTTGCTGATGGAGGGAACATTTTTGCTTTGGTGCAGGGAAGGCTTGTTGTATTGCACTATGCATGAGTTTGCTTTTCCCAATACTACCTTCAACTCATTGGTTTGATCCTTTCTTGCCTTATTTTCATAATCTTGTGGTACATTTCAAAAAGATTTAAGTATTGACTAAATTACGGAATTTATGCAAAAGTGCCCTTAGTTTCCAGATGGCCATGTTGTAACATTGAACTGTACATTAATGAATTAATTTCATTTTTTTCCAGATGCCTGAGCAACTACACCAATTAGCCATGAAGAAGCTGTGAACCTTACAGAGAACCTGCAAGGATTTCTGCTTTTACAGACTTCTTGCATTTTCATGAGATTGTTGTACATAATGGCATAAACTTCAAAAATTGACCATTTGATTCTGCATCAACTTTGTCTTATATGTGATGTAATGTAACATAAAAACAACATCAAAATGGCTTCAAAGGTCTCATGTTTATATATTTTAACAGTTGTTTGCTGGGCAAGTGCTCTTTGGTACTTGAGTGCAACTCGTCCTTCATCTTCTTATGTTGGGCACAGCTCTTTTTCCCGTATTGCAGTTGAACGAAAAAATTTCAGCTTTACTAATATTCGAACTCGTTCCCTGAATCCACATAATTTCAATTACCTTATTAATGAGCCTAACAAATGTGAGCAACTTAGCCCTTTCTTGGTGATTCTTGTAAGCACAACACACAAAGAGTTTGATGCAAGGCAGGCCATAAGAGAAACATGGGGAGATGAAAACAACTTCAAAGGAATACAACTGGTCACTTTATTTTTGCTTGGAAAGAACACAGACAATGTTTTGAATGAGATGGTAGAACAGGAGAGCCAAATTTTTCACGACATTATTGTGGAGGACTTCCTGGATTCCTACCATAACCTTACTCTGAAAACTTTAATGGGTCTGAAATGGATAGCCAACTTTTGTTCAAAAGCGAAGTATGTAATGAAAACTGACAGTGATATTTTTGTCAATATGGACAATTTGATCTACAAATTACTGAAACCAAACACAAAGCCACGGAAAAGATATTTTACTGGCTATGTTATTAATGGGGGACCTATAAGGGACATTCGCAGCAAGTGGTATATGCCCAGAGATTTATACCCTGACAACAATTACCCACCATTCTGTTCAGGCACAGGATATGTCTTTTCTACAGATGTGGCTGAAGCTATTTACAAAACATCTCTTCATACTAGGATGCTGCATCTTGAGGATGTCTATGTTGGACTATGCCTGCGGAAACTTGGCATTCATCCCTTTCAAAATAGTGGTTTCAATCATTGGAAGGTTTCATACAGTTTGTGCAGGTATCGTAGACTAATTACAGTGCACCAGATATCTCCTGAAGAAATGCAGAGGATTTGGAATGAGATGTCAAGCAAAAAACATCTTCGATGCTAAATGTACAGAAGTACATGAATGATTTACAAATGCATTTTGTTGCCACTCAACCTCCAATCAGCAATCTATGTTGATTCACTACGGCAGTGAAAATGTTTTTACAGCAGAAAAGGAGCTTAAACTGCTCATAATGGCACCCACTGTCACAAACATAAATACTGAATAATTTACCCTAACAGTTAATGACTGCAATTACTATCATAAATAGTAATTAATTGAAATGCTCTTGTTTGTTTGTTGGACTGTACATTTTAAGTAAATCAAAAAGGCTGGATGTATGTTTTAGTTTATTTAAAAATAATTCATTGTGTATTGATCTATGTGTCAAGGGATAAACAGTGCTATTGCTAGAAGTGATATTTATTATACATTTATTGCTTATATAATTGTGTTACTTAAGAGGAATGTGCGAATAGCAAGATTTTCAACTTAAATTTACCTTTTGGTAATTAAGCGTTTCATATAATTTCAATTAAATAAGTGATGTGTGGATCAGAGAAAACTGATACAAAGTTGAGTTTAATTCAGGATTGCAGAACTCAATCATTCTGGTCAACTCATCCAGTACGGTATAATTTGCTAAACCTGCATAATATCCATAATTGTTTCATTCCTTATACATGGGTAGTGCTGCCTTTCTTTAAAAAGGATGCATCTGGAAGCCTTGATTACATTATCTTACCTGGCCTACAGAAAGTACAGGATATCATTCTGCTAAAATATGTCAGATTATAGTTTTATGAAGATAAACAAATTGTAATGCGTTTGATTTTATTGACATATCGGGTTATTGTAAATGGTGTGAAAATAAGTGTTTTAAGTGTGGATTGGATAACAGATAATTGAGTGATTTAATAGTTATATTGTATGTATATAAATATTGAGAGCATTAACTTTGACCAACATTAAAACTGTGCTGTGAATTTGTGTTATAGGATTCAAACATTTACCATCTTGTAAATGGTTTGTCATGTTAAATTGAGGACAGTTTGAAGAATTCAACGTTCAAATCAAGCTTAAAAATTGGCATTCATATGCATAACAATCTGTATGTTTTTGTACATACAAAAGTGAGAGAGCTTGAATATCTTAATCATTATGATATCATAGTTGTCTCCTCTATCAAGATGACTAGTGAAAAAGCTATGAGCACAGATTTAAATGTTATAATAAATAATAATTTAGTAAGCATTTCAAGAAATCATTTTCAGTGTTCAAGTTAAGGTGTGGTTGAATTGTGATTTTATGAGTTTGAATGCATATTTTTGCGATCTGAACTAAATTAAATTCAAATTCAGAAGGCTGAAATTGAATGAATGTAGAACTGACTGAAAGCCAATTGTTGTAAAGTGGTGTGGTATCTTTGTAGAATGCTGTAAACTCATCAGTACACGTATTCTCAAGTGTAAATTAGAGCTGTTCTTGTTTTTCACTGTTTGAAAGAAAAACAAATTGAAAATGCCCAATGGGTGCTATATTTTGTGTTTGTATTTTTTGGAAAAGTTACATAAAGTTGATTTGGTTGCAAGTGGTGTTTTTAAAACCTAGAAATGTAGGTTTCTATAATTATTCAATTCGATGAAGTAATTAAATTATTTACTGGTTTTAATTTAATTGCAATGAATTTCAGAAAGAAGAGAGTGCATGCTTCTAAAATTAAAGTTTCAGGGGAGAACAATGTTTAGCAGCTATTTCTGTTAACCAATTGACTGCTGAGTATATCAATCTTAGCATTTCTGTCATGTTAAACGAGTAGCTAGTGAGTTAAGTACCTCAATGTCACAGCATTTCATCTATTTTAATACTTTCACTGAAGCTCTGTTATAACATAGCTTTTGGAGAAGCAGAACAGCTCAGGTGGCAAATTCCAGATCTGTTAAGTGCATTTCCAGAATTTGCTGTCTGATTTGCTAATAATAACAGTGATCACAGTCAGCTTCAATGTTATTAATTACAAAGCCCAGCCTGCATTTTTAAAAAAAAATTATTGCATCAGTGATATCAAACCCGTCCTGCTGCCCCTATGCTTAATTGTCTGCACTTTTTAAAATTGAGATTGAATTTTTAAATGAATAAGTATTAAAGAAGTATAAGTCTTTAATCTTCATTATTGCATGACAGTCATTTATGGTACATCATGTTCTCAAGGGTGGAAAAGATCACTGAGGATCATTCTTTGCCATGCGTTGAGGAAATTGTAATTTGGTTTAATTGTGCAAAAGTTTACTGAGGGGCAGATGATCCTGCTTTATTCTTAAAATGCTGGGAGGATAATGTAAGCATGAGCAGATAACATGCACAAATTGTAACAGTAGAACATAGTTAAATTGAAAATCTGCAGCAAGATGAGAAACTAGATGTTTTTCTTCTATACAAAATGGCAGATATATACAAAACTGCAATGAATACTTATTTAAAGCAAATATTGATGAATACCTAGTAACCTTCATGCTTTGGTTAAAAAACTAGTCTTGGCAGTGGCAAAAACAGCATGGCCTAGATATCTAACGCCCCAGTTTTAATCTTTCGTGTGTAAAGATGCAGGCACTTCAGAGCCCAATAGAGTGTGCTTATTTAATTCATAGGCCAAATTTCTATTTTTGGTTGAGTAAGCAACTGATCAAAACGCATACCATGTATATTATAGTCAGTTCTCAGAATAGCTAAGCCAGAGGTCCATAAAGAGGCAACTGGAGGCTGCCACCCAAAAGATAAGTTTGAAGCCATGTCCTGAGCTAAAAGAGTTGGAAGAGTGTTTCTTCTGGCTTCAAAAGAAAACTGCATGCTGTTGCTAATTCATACAACGCCCTCACATAAACCATAAATTTACCTTCCTTGGATACTCCTGTAGGCCTGCATCCCAGCTGGCCGATTTTACTCCCTATCCAACACCCTCCCCGTCTTCATCATTGTATCGCCATGCCCACACCTAGCAAGCTGTGTCTAAAGCCAGGAAAGGCTCTGATATTAGGAATTGGCACTACAGAGGCTGAAGGAAATAATTGCCAAGATCCTGCCATCAGTCTCCTTAAGCTACAACCAGATTGCAGTTTGGTTACAATATATAGGCTATGTATTGCATACACTTGCACAAATCATTTGACAATCAAAACTTTAAATTATTTGACTAAACTTACTGAAAGGCAGCAGGCAGTGAAGAAGGCAAGTGGTATATTGGCATTGTTAGTAAGAGGATGTGAGTACAGGAGCAAGGATGTCTTGCTGTAATTGTACAGGACCTTGGTGAGACCACACCTGGAGTATTATTAAGAGAGGAAGGATATTCTGGCAATGGAGGGAGTGCAACAAAGAGCGAGTGGATTGATTAGGACTATATTCACTGAAGTTTAGAAGAATGAGCAGGGGATCTCATAGAAAACTATAAAATTCTAACAGGACTAGACAAGATAAAAACATAGGAAGGATGTTCTTGATGACTGGGGAGTCCAGAACCAGGCATCATTGTTAAGGATATGGGGTAGGCCATTTTGCACCGAGATGAGGAGAAACCCCTTCTGTCAGAGATGGTGCGCCTGTGGAATTCTCTGGCATAGAAAACAAGTGAGGCCAACACATTGAATATTTTCAAGAAGAAATTAGATATAGTTCTTGGGGCTAAACGATAAGAGGAGAAAATGATAGATGATCAGCCATGATCATATTGAATGATGGAGCAGGCCAGAAGGGCTGAATGGCCTACTCCTGACATATGACATAATTAACAACAACTTTATCAACTTTATTCAAGAGCAACTGAACGATGGTAAAGGTGATGAATCAAAAGTGATGTTTTACATATTAAGCATTTTCAGATTGCAATTATATCATGGTAATATAAATGAATTTAACATTTTTGATTTGATTTTAGAGAAAGGATTTGATTCTGCTACTATTTTCAACTGTGGCCATCTTTATGGCAAAATCATAGAATTTTTAGTACAAAATGAACCTATTTTGTGTGTCTTGATGCTAGTATCACATCAGACCTATTTATCCTAATTTTATTTCCCTACTTTATTATATACCTTAAAGATGAGGTAGACAAGTGCAACAATATGCACCTTATGTGGAGTTGGGGTTTCAATTAGATCAGCCATGATTTTGTTAAATGACAGAGCAGGCTTGAGATGGCAAAAATCCGGCTCCTGCCCTTAACTTGTGTGTTCGTAATTGATCACCATTTCATTAGCTGGAAAAGATTGTTGTGCTTTGCATTTCATTGAAACAATTACCTTATATTGAATTAACAGCACAGAACTATATTCCACATAAACCCCCTGCAAATGACACTGTCCTATCTACAACTTGTACATTTATTTCCTCTTGCTTGAAGATATCAAGCTTTCCCTTAAACATGAATGAATATTTCAATGACACCACTGACAGCACGTTCTACAGTCCCACCACTCTCTTATGCAAACATCGTTCTGATCTGTATTTTTATACCTTTTTCTCCAATTCGCCCACAAATAAAAACATGCTATTAAATGTCTCAGAAACATAAAGCAGTTTATTGGGTCTCCTCTTACTCACATATTTTTCGAATAAAGAAAGCCTGACCCTGCTGAGTACTCCTGAGTTGCATCATCTGCAATCTGGTAATGCATGTATAAATATTTGCTACATTTTCTACAGCGCCTCAGTATACTTTCTGTTATGAAGATGACTCCCTCCAAAATATGTCAAATGTGTTCCAAAGATTTATTTACATTTAACATTAGCTCCCTGCATTTGTATTCTAATCCCGTTAAATTGAATCTTGGTACTTTGTCTGCATTCTTTATGGCCATATCAGTGTGTCTGATACCTATCAAGTTGTAGTCTGGAAATTACTGAGTGGATTTACTGTGTTTATAATTAATTGTATTACATTTACTTTTCTGTGGCATTTTAGCATGGCTATTAATCAATTAAAATAAACTGGATATATACTCCCATTGCAAGACTAAGTTAAAATCGGTGCATCAAGGTACTACTTGCACTAGCATCCAGGCTTATAGTTTCTAGTCAAACTCACAACACTGAACAAGTATATTTCTGGTTAATAAATATTAGCTGTATTTTTCATCTAGATGGTGTGGAACCAAAATACAAATCAAGTAACATAGCTATTGTGCATAAATGTGTAAAAACAATTTCTTTGTAATAGTGTCACATATCAAATGAAATATCACTTCAGTAAGGCAAATGTTTATATGTTTATATACCAATTTGCAAGCAATTTTACAAAATGTGTCTGAAGACACTGGTATACCAGTTACAATGCAGTTAGCAGCAGCATTTATTTTTTGTACGATTACTATTTTTTCAATCTTTTGCTTTTGATGTGACAGATA